TCTTGAAGAAAAATAATAAGTACTTATTTAAGTGTAACACGACTAAAAAGTTACTAATACTAAATGAAAGATGAATGAACAAGTATTGATGATAATTTAGTTATTTCATATTCAGAAATTGATATTTTATTGGACAGATTGTAAAACTGTAATATTTTATTGTAAGTCACATAATAAATTATTCAAATAATAATAAATATACTTAATTTTCATATAAAAATTGGGTAAAGCAAAAACATATCAATTGCTTGAAATTTTACTACGCGGAACAATTTATAATTTCAATTAGTTAACAAATTAGAAACTATGTTACTATGTTAGTCATCCTCCTAAATTACAAAATATAAAAATAAATAAATAAAATTGTACTAATTACTTGTTAGTTTGAGTAGGAAAGAATTTATTTTTTTTTGAAATAAAATTTTAAATTCAAATTTTATAAATAATGAGATAGGTGTTGAAAGAGAAGGTCTAACCAATTTTTTTTTTTTTTTAAATTATGATCTTCAATGTTTAACCACTAAGCATGACTTGTTTTATGTTACTCGCTTCAAATATATATATATATATATATATATTTCATATAGAAAATGATTGGTATATATTTATTCAACGCATTTTTTGATACATTTTTTGTTCAACCATAAAAAATATAATATAAATACAGTCAATTTAGTTGATTCTTATATCTCGTATGTATGATTGTATTTTTAAATTTGTTTGGCTTTAATTTCAGACCAAGAATTAGTGATTTTTTAATAAGTGTTATGTTAAATAAAGTGTGTACTAATCATTATCCTTTTTCATATTCAATAAAATAAGGCTAGCAATAGGGATGAAGCTAGAAAATAATCTTAGGGGGCAAAGTTCTATTTGAAATGTGTATGCTAAAAATGAATTTTTTGACTTGTAATTTATAAATAAGATTTAAATATACGAAAATTAAAATTTTAAAGACTTTAAATGTAGAAAAACTTATTAAAATTAATGTGTATTTAAATTTTAATTTAAAATACAACTTATATCACAAAATATTATTTAATATGATCCAGATATGAAAACTAAATGTTTTAAAGAATTGATAATACCAATTTCAAGTTAATTTTATTTTGTTGGTTAATATAAATAATCATTAATTATTCATATATTGCAATGACAAGCATATCAAATAATTAAAAATATTTTATTAAATTTATTTTACTTTTCAAGTAGTTAGTAATTTATCATAAGATCTATAAAAGAATAAAAGTTAGAACACATCATTTTATTTTTTT